GAGTGTATTACATCATTTTTTTACTTTAGCCAGCAGCATGTTAAATTTTATTTTCTGAAGTTGGTGGAATTTAACAGTAGGGTTTTTCACATAATGAATAGTGAATGTCTGTTAGAAGACTGCAGTTATAGTTACAGCGCCACTGAAAATACAGTTTTTACATTTGTAACTGGTTTAACAATGTGTGATTCGCAGGTGACTTAAACCTGTGGCATTGTACTTCAAAAGCCATATGATGTGAAAGAACCTTTAAAAAAAAGGGGGGATTAAAATGACAAAAGGCTACATGTAAAACTGTAGTGTTTACTGTGCTGGAGTCTGTGTACAAAGTCCTCTGGCAGAGGAGTGGTTTGTCATCACATTCATTATCCTCAGAATAATATTACAACATGTTAAATATTAAAAAGTCAAAACATACAAAACCAGTATTCACACACACACGTTGCAACACACAGTTTCTCTTTAAATAACATCCCATTCTCTGGTAGAGAAACAGGTAAATTGAGTATTCAGGTCTCCATTCCCACTCTTCGAGTGACTCCCTGCTTCAGCCTTCTCGGCACCCACACTTTTTATCTGTAGCCACGGCACTAGGGACCGGGTGAGAGTTGTTACTCAGCATGAACTGAGGAGAGTTTTCAGAGGACTCGTTTATGATGGTCATACCATTGCGTGCCATTAGTTCTCGAGCCATAAGAATGAAGGCAGCCTCTATGTTCTGGGCCTCCTTGGCTGAGGTTTCCAGAGCAGCCAGCACACCACTGTCTTCTGCCAGATTGCAAGCATCCTCAAAGAGCACCTGTCTCTTAGCGTGGAGATCTGACTTATTACCTGCAGTGGTGAACAGAACCAGAGTTGGTAAAAACAGAAGTGAAGCAGATATTTGCAGCTATGATTTGTATCATTTTTCAGTTCAGTTATTCTTTTAGTGCAACACTTACTACAACCAAGTCTTTAGATCACATTTAAACTTTACCCGTCAAAAACACGGGGCATGTTTCTGACTTTTTGGAATTACGTCTTTCCCAACAAACTTAGTAGACTTTAAGTATAAGATAAATTTTTTTAGGGTTAATACAGTAAAACAGTCACACACCGGAATCGCTGTTTTAGCACATTACGCATATGTCTTTGGTCTGTAGGTGGACGCTACACGATACACTACCTACAGAGACACAAGAAGAATATCTAAACTCTACATAAAAGTACTCTCCCTCACTGGCATGCTCTTTCATGTCATTGACCTATTGCAGATTAATACAACAATACTGCATTCAGTTAGTGCAGTGGTTCTTAACCTTGTTGGAGGTACCGAACCCCCACCAGTTTCATATGCGAATTCACTGAACCCCTCTTTAGTGAAAAATAAAATGTGATTTTTTTCAAATTCAAGATGTAGATATGTTTTTTACTGGTGCACAAAATGAGCCGTGCATGTCACGGCGGAGGCTCTGCCCAAACCCCTGAGACAGACTCACCGAACCCCTAGGGTTCGATCGAACCCAGGTTAAGAACCACTGAGTTAGTGAGATCAGGATTTGATCTAATCATGAAAATATGGATTTATCCTGCCTTGTATCAACAGCTAAAGCTGCTGGTGTGACATTGTTTGGGATATTTTCTTGGCACATATTGTTAACACATTGTTAAACACCACAGTCTACTTCAGTCGTTTTGGTGACCATGTTCATCCCTTTATTAGCACAATCTACGGCTCTGCTAATGACTTTGCAGGTGACTTTTGTTTTGTTGTTTGAATTGATTTTGTAACATGTTTTTTGTGACAATATCTACAACTCAAAAATATATTCTGCTCTGTGCAGACAGTTTACATACCAATGAGTATCAGCACCACACTGGCAGCTCCGTACAGCTCCACTTCTCTGATCCAGTGTGGAACCGATTCGAATGTGCTGCGTCGAGTGATGTCATAGGCCACCATCGCCCCATGGGCGCTGCGGTAGTAGCTTTGAGTTATGGTGCGGAAACGCTCCTGTCCCGCAGTGTCCCACACCTGCATCTGCAAAACACAGATAACACAAATATGGGTTAACCGGTTATACAGAATAGGTTAAGGATCAACAGCGTACAACTCTTAAGTTATTCAAGTGTGATGTCAGGTTTGTCTGCCGTTTGCAGTTGTTTCTGAACAAATGTCTGCAAATGTCTAAACAGAATTATAAACTAGCAGCTAATAAATCAACACACCCAGAAAGCAAACAGAAACACCGAGGATACTACAGACAGGTTGTCAGCCCCTCCCCTTTCTCTAAAGAACTAAAACAAAAGGACTTCTTTACTTTAAGACAAGAGTGCACCCACACGGATCTCATGAATTGCACGCACCTAAATATGTGGACATGACTGCACTATCAGCTGTGATGCAAGTGCTTAAAATAAAAGTCATCTACCTTCACCTTCTTGCCATCAATGTCCAGGGTACGAACAGTAAAGTCAACACCAATGGTGTTTTGTTGCTTTTCGATGAAGATGCCAGATTTGAAGCTTTGCACCACGCAGGTCTTCCCAACATCTGAGTCACCAACCAAGATGATTTTAAAAAGAAAGTCAAAAGAGTCTTCAATCTCTGGCCCAGCAGTCTGCATGGTGACAAGAGGAACAGAGAGAGAGGGGAAAAAACACTATTTTTTTACTATTGCTGACAGACGAGACCTAATACCCTTGGGCCTCAGTGCAAATGAACCGGTCCCTTCCAAGTTGTGTCAATAAGAACTTGGAATATTTACACAAACAGCAGTCACATCCTTGAGAAAGAAAGGGAAAAATCGATTGTCTACTGGCAGAAGTAACACAGACGGTTTGATCCCTGGTGAAAGATCCATCCAGAGCTTAATAACAAGTAAAGGTTCTGTCAAATCTAATCTGTCAAATCTAGTGAAGCAGCTTGCTTTTTTCTTCTGCTATCTTAAACCCATTCTTTAACCTTTGTTCAACAATCAGAAAAGATTACACAATCAGCTCAGGTATTCCATAGCAGGGATAAAAATCAATATTCCTTGAGAAAGACTAGTCAGAATCCAAAAGCTGTTTCTTCATCAAGACTTGGTTTCCATATCTACATTACACCAGTAGTCACATTCTTGAAACACAACTAGATTCTGTCCTTCTGCCCTTTAGACTGTCACTCTTTGTGCTTGCTACACCCCTGCGCCACTCAGTTTACTTCTGAGGCAGTATAAGACACGCCTCCTACCTGTGTTGGAAGTTGTGATTTCCAACTGCCAGCCCACCTGCACCACTGCATCTTGGGATATGGATTTTCTTTGTATGTTTAACAGCACTCAATACCTGAAAGAGACAGACAGCAATCATTCATTACCAAAAGCTCTTAAAGGTTGAGCTAAAATTAGTAGCTAGAACTTACCGTAAATTATAGGAGCGAACAAAAGTGTTGAAGGTTCACTCTGAGTGCAGACTTCCCATTTTAAGAGGGTGTGACTGCTACACTTGCAGCCATGCAACTATAAAAATCAGTATTTAAGCATGTGGGCGTGGTCAAGATAACCTGCGGAAGTGCAAACTGAGCATCAGAATAGGCCAGAACGGTGATTTAAGTGACTTTGAATGTGGTATGATTATTGGTCCAATACGGGCTGGTCTGAGTGCTCTTAGGGTGACGTCTTCCAGCAGGGTAATGCACCAGGTAAAATCATTTCAAACTGGATTCTTGAACATGACGGTGAATTCACTATATTCAAATGGCCTTCACAGTCAACAGATGTCAATCCAGAAGAACACCTTGTTAACTTTGTTGGATTTACTTTAATTTCTTTCTCTGGTTTTGCAGTGCTGGGTTCTCCAAGCAATGATATGGTCTGCCAGCATATAACGAGCAAAAGAGATGTCTTTGAATGCATCACTATTTAACACAGAAAGTGCTGATTGGGAGATACAACGTATTCCAAGATCATAGGAAGATAGCTGGAGTCATTTATGTTAAATGCATTTATTTTCTGTGTCTCCTCAGTAAGGTATTTAGTTGTTCTTTTAATTACTGTTAGGTTAGAGCAGGGGTGTCAAACTCAAATACACAGTGGGCCAAAATTTAAACTGGAACAAAGTCGCGGGCTAACATTAATATTCATTGGAAAAAAAATCTTCCTCCAGATATAAGAATGAATCTTTTCTTATGGACTCAAACAAGTTTTGCTGAAAAACTGAATATGGAACAAGCAAAGCTTAATACTAAACAATATATATATTAGCTGTATAATACCAGTAGGCCAGCTCTAATAGTAATTTGGTATGGCTTCGCGGGCCAAATGTAATTAGGCTGCGGGCCAAATTTGGCCCACGGGCCAGAGTTTGACACCTATGGGTTAGAATAACAATTAAATTAAAGCTTGATTTTGCTTCTCTAATATTAGTTGATTCGTTTTGTTCCCCTCGTGTCTAAATTGGTCCGATTAGCAGGTATTTAAGATCCCCTTTCCTTCTCATCTGATCAGTTTTGGTTGCTTGGATTGGTTTGAGTATTGATGTCATTTTATCTCATGTTGCTTCTTACTTTTTAAGTTGTAACATTACTGTTTGACTTTTTTTCCCCAAGGATAAAATAAAGCACTTTTTTCTCAAATTTCTGTATCCCTGTGACTAACCTTACACATGGAGAAAGGTTGTATTTACAAGGCTTCAAATACCTTAGAGCAAACAGCCTACACCCTTACACCCAATAAAACTACTCACAACAAAATGTAATCACGTTACATCTTTGTTTTAACAGCTGCCCCCCACACACACACACAATGATTAACAATTAAAGAAAACATAAGCTCTTCTCCCTGATTACAACCAGCTAACACATTCCAGAGCAATCAGGAACTGTAAAGAGTTAACCACAAAACGAACAAGAACAAACAGAAATACACCAGAAAAGCATAATTTAAATCATTTTACCTCAGGCTTCACACATTGGCATCACAGTGAGATGCTAACACAGACTGAGCATACTGCTCTGAATCTCTCTCTCTCTTTCCACCCCCTCACTACATTCTGTCGTCATCTCAGCCCACAGAAGAACAAGGCACAGCTGGACACAGAACAATGTGTGAAGTGTGAGGGGCACTTGACCAAGCTGGGTCTATCTTTGGCTGTGACCACCAGCCACCTTCTTTCTGTCGTGCGGGTGGTGCCTTATTTGTTCAGTGCAATGAAACGTGGTTTTGTTGACCACAGAATGAATGAGACCGAAACAGATCTTTGACTGTGCCACATTTATCCAAATAAAAAAAAAAAGTATTGCAGTACATCTACAGAAAATTGTATTCTGGACTTTTAAATATCTAGTCACACGAACATCATATCAAAATTTGAATAATTCCATTAATTTAAAAAACAAAAACATAAACCAAATACATCTTCACCACAACCACCTTAAGAGAACACAAATCCTTGTGTGACTCAGCACACAAGGATTGTTTTTTTTTTGTTTATTTTTTGTTTATTTTTTTCAGAGTCTTGGCCCAGAAGCTGTGGTGGTGCAGAAATCACAGTTAAGCCCGTAACTAAGCTGCCGCATCACAGTCATACACGTCAACCTGCTGTGTCATCTCTTCTGCTGCAAATGTGCTGGACTAAACGTGTTGCTGAGGCTCTGTTGACTTCTTCTCTGTTTCAGAGGTTTCTTGCTTGATGTCACGAGGGAGGATGGTTCTGGAGGAGGGACATGGATTGGCTTCCAGGGGATTGGATTGACAAAACTGGGCGATGGGTAGGATTTGTCATAGGGACCTAGAGAAAAACAATCCAATGCAACAGTGACACATAAATCTCTGGAAGTCTAATTAAACTAATGAGCTACCGTCTATCTATGGAATGATTATGATGTTTGAGTGAAATAAACCCAAAAACAAAGACACGGTTAATAACGCCAAGATGATTCAAATAAACATACTTGATGGATAGCTGGGCTTTTTGGGACTAGCTTTGCTTTTTTCATTGGCCTTTGCCAGCCATTCCTTAAACTTCTCTTCAGCCCTCCTACGCCGCTCCATCTCCTGCTCCTCCTTCAGGGAGGCTTCCTCCTGTCAAAAAGATACAAAAGAAATCTCTGAGAAACCATTTGGTATTTAAAAAAGAAGAGACAGCTGAACGAGAGCCTGATTACTTTCTCCTTCTTTTCCTTTTCTATTTTTTCTTGGTTCTTTCTTTGCAGCCAGTCTTTGTACTTTCGTTGAGCTTTCTGTTCAGTCGCGCGCCGTCTCTCCTGCTGCCTCTGCATC